TGTTTGGCTCTGAGCTCACCATCCATTTTAATGGTGCTGCTGTTTGACTGCCGGGGATGAGAGAACATTCTGTTTGAGACTTCTGGTTATTTTGTGGAAAGTACAACTTTCTGGAGACTCTGTGATGAATCATACGCCACTGTGATACACGCAGTTTCCAAAAGTAAATAACTTCAGAAACTGAATTTTATGAGCGTAAAGGCAATAATACAGTCACACCGGAGGACTTTGTTTTTGCCACTTTTTAGAGGTAACAGAACAAGTCGCCAGTTCTTCCTTTCACCCTAAAAACTTTAACATTATTTTATCAGCTTGATACTTTGTGACTTCTCCTAATTTTATGGAAATGACTGAGGTTTTTTTTTTTTTTACCTTTTATCAAATATGCAGTTTATGGCAAAGCGAAGGGTTAGCACTTAAATACTTATCTAAATATTAGGTTTTAATAAAGCTAGAAGACAAGAATAACATTTAAAATTGCAATAATTAAGTTACACATCACCTACAATTAGGCTTGGGCGCTATCTGTATTTTCATACCTTCCTACCTTCCTGATATTTCACCAGGTTATATGATATATGATGGTATTTGTGTAAAGTAAAAGCTGAGCTACTTGTGACAAAAGTCATTGTAGCATGTATGTTATATGTCAAAATCTAGCCCACAATGCTGTGCTTCTTGCCATCAGTCTATAACAACAAGTCCTGTTGGGTTTGAATTAGGGCCGTAACGGTACATGTATTTGTGTTGAACCGTTCGGTACGCGACTTTCGGTTCGGCATGACCCTGTACCGAATTATTGGGCGCAGGATATTATTTTATTTTGTTTTATTTTAATTCCGTTTTTGCAAGCCGAACCATTTAAAATATCTAGTTCCCCGACGGACATAATTGAGTGACGGACCGAGTCCGACCGTAAATCTCCGCTTTCACTTTGTGCAGCGCATTCTCGCATTTTGACAACATGGCAAGTGAGCCTGACGAACCTGAAGACCCACCCGCAAACCTTAAGTCCTCCGTTTGGGAACACTTTGGTTTCAGGGTAAGATACGAAGATGGAAATAAACAAGTTGACAAGACAAAAGCAGTGTGCCGACACTGCAGAACAGCGGTCGGGTATGTACTTGGAAACACGTCTAACATGCTAACGCATCTAAAGCGACACCACCCGAGTTTGAACGTTAAACGGCACGACTAGAAAAAGCAATCTGGTGCAAACTATGATATCGTCGTCGTTTAAAAAGAGAGAGCCTTTCCCTGACCATCACGCTAAAGAAATAACCAACGCCATTGGAGTTGAGTAAAATTGTTTAAGCTGCACTTTAGATATAAGCATGTTTTGTTTACTGCACTTTAACAAAGTGGGAAAGCTAAGTAAGCTCCTAGTGAAACTGAATCTGAGCAGGCTTTAAAGCTGACCAGCTGCACTATACTTTTTATTTTAATTGAGTAAAACTGTTTAAGCAGAAATTTATATTTATATTTTTCATTCAAAAAATGTGTTAAAAAAACAGCAGGATTTTATTTTTCACTTTTATATTTCTATTTTCATTCAAACAATGTGAAAAAGCAGGATTTTATATATTTGTTTCATTCAAAAATTGTGTAAAAAGAGTTAACTGCTGTGGTGGTATGTTTTAATAAGGTTACCAATAAGTAAAAGATATTTAATAGTTGTCTATTTTTTTCCATTACTGAACCGAAAAAAAACGAACCGTGACTTGTGTACCGAGGTACATACCGAACCGAGATTTTTGTGTACCGTTACACCCCTAGTTTGAATACTACAGCCCACCAAAAAATGAATACATAGGAAATAAGCACCCTTTTTGCTGGAGGACCTGATGGAACTTGTTGCCATGGCGGATACTGATACATCTGTGGATTGAACAAAGATGATGTGTTTAATAAAATCATTTTGTAGTGGGAAGAAGTCATCTCAAGATAAAGTTACATGAGGCAACACTCCCAAACAGAGGCAGAGGCATTTTTCTTTTTCACTAGTCCTGTAACATTCTCCCCAACACTTACATTCGCCATCTTTCTCAGCTCAGCTGCCTTTTCCACTGGTAGAGACTGACCCCTGGTGGCGTGTGCTGTGCACTACCTCGCCTCAATACAGCATCTCTGTATCAGTTTAATAGACAAAGGAATATCTGAACTTTTGACGGTATTGAAAATCATATCTTGGGGGTTATACTTATATCCTGGTATACCATAATACCTCGATACTGCCCAAGCCTAACTGACATATCATCACATTTTCATTTTTGATATGACAAACTTGTCAGCAAACAGCTGCAGTTATGAAAGTAGATGTCATTCATTTGGAGTTACGTTTCTGTCCACCCAATGAATGTGAGTCCAATATTCACTCTCTTTTATTTGTTTTTGGTCTCTACTAGCTCCTGAGGGAAATATCTGGCTCTTTAGCTGCTAAATGCTCCACTATGTTCACCAGCTAGACACTAACTGTGTCTGTCTGCTGTTTGCTGCTGAGCAGGTAGTGCGTGGTGGGTCTTTAGAGCTTTTCCACTTAAATCAGCTGCCTGAAGCCACTGAAAATAAAGTTATAAGAGCGGTGAGAGTGAGCCAAGACAATGAAGCTGTGGGCCGGATAGCTAAACAATGAGCTGAAACTCACTAAAAAGCCGAGGAGAGCTGCAGATTCAGCTAAATTCTCTATGTGTGTGTGACCACTTTCACATTCGTCCATTGTCATTTGATACATTGGTATTGTTAAAAGATAAATTAGCCACTTTAAAGGAGAACAAATGGTTAATTTTGCCGTTATTAGTCTTTTTACATACACAGCATTGGGGTCTGGTGAGGCCAATGTCAGCTAAACACAATGGGTAATAAAATGACAAAGAAACACATTTTCTAGCATTTCACTGTTCCATTTAGCTCAGTAACCTCTTGTCTTTGCCCAGTCACAGGCTAATTATTTGATGACCGTCCTATTTAACTTTTTAAAAGTAGAACTATCAAGCAAGAAGTCTGTACTCCGAAGCACTCAGTAAAATCCTGCAGCCCTCCAGTCTACCTTCGAGGATCAGCGACATCACACTGTGCCTCATGTTACTAAAAATAAAGCCATATCCCCCAGTTTACAGGGTCACTGATGACTAAGCTTTGTAAAGCCTCCTAGCATGGCAATTTATCACAGCTACTTGTAATCTTGGTGAAAGGAAATAGCAGAGGTATTGTGTTGACTCATCACCTGCACACCTGCACATTCAAACCACGTTTGGTTTTCACAGCTTCGCACAGCCTACTGATTATTTCCCTCGTTTTGACTGACGAGCCTTTATCCCTGTCCATCATCCTCTTCGTGCTTACTAATGAGAGCGCTCCATAGTTTTGGTTTTATTCTTGGCCAGTATTACCTTCGCAAATAGCGAGTCCCACAGGTCCAAGAAAGCAGATATTGCTCCTTTCTGACCACCTAATGGGAGTGTAATGTGCTGTGACACTGCAGGCAGTGGCTGTCAAAACAGTGGGCCCTGTTCCACGGCTGGCCAATTGTTCTGAAGGGTGCTGGACTGGATCAGTGCATCGCAGCAGCCAGCACCGAGCCTCACAAGACACACTGTCCAGAACACACTCACAGCACACAGTGTGCTGCCCGGACCGGCTTATAGAAACAAAAGACCAGGACGAACCTGGTGCACGTTAGACTACAGTTACACAATCTCTCTCCTGGTGATCAGGTTATTGTTATGACATATCAAAACAAGCACAAAAGCACAAGATACTAACAGAAAATAAAACCCATGGCAGGGCTCTCACTGTTTTAAGAAAGGATTTTAATGGGGCCAGAGTTAGCAGGAACTACAAAGGAAGCAGTGATGCCTCAGCTCCAAAACAAACAACTGATTATATTTGCTTGCTAAGTCAGTCTAACACGAGCGATGATTGAAAGGTGGATGCTCATTTAGACATAAAAACTAAGCTGCCCCAGTTAACAACATATCCAGAATAGCTGACAGGATTATGCTTCAGAGGACTTCATGAATGTGAAAACACAGACAGACAGACTGTTACCGTCGAGTGTACACTAAGGAAGAGTAGACGTCTGTGTGAGCAGCTCTTAATGGCTGAAGTATTCATGTTGCTGCTTTGTTTTATTTACGTTACAGAAACATCGAGCTGAGCTGAATGTGCCCGACAAGCAGAGCATCTACCGGTACACTCTGTGGTGCTCTCAAGCACTCAGGGAAGAGATGTCTAATCTGGTTCTACAGTATCGCACAGCAGCAGATCGGACCATCATCTAATATCACAACAACTGTCTGTGATACACTGTCGTTTATAGTTTCTGTGAACAATGACAGAAACTTAAAGATGGCCTCGTTAGAAACAGGAAATGCGGATTAGCTGTTGTGTAAGGAGTTAACCAAGATGTTTACGCTGAGATCGGAGGAACAATAAGACTTGAATATTGTCAGTGTGGTAAACCGCTAAATAATGCTTGTTAGGGACAGTTACTACTGATGGATAGGTAATGTAAGCTGGAATGGGAGGCTACTGCAATATAGTCATACAGTATGGTCTCCAACTAAATCTCAGCCTGGATCAAACTGTTGAGTATTTACCAAATGACAACCTCCAGGGCTAAAAAGTGAAGCCACAAACTGCAGTTCTTTGAATGGCTGCTTGAGGCTGGCTCCAGAAGCCAGTCAATCCCTGCAGACCTCCAACTTCACAGCAGACATAAACATTTACAGCCTGGTTTTGGTCTTTTTAGCTAATTTCCCTGTTCATCGCAACTGTACGGGGACCGAATTTCTATACAAGTCACCAGTTTACATTTTATTAATGCTTAAAGTTACACATCATAAAGGTGGGCCGCTTTGAGTGACAAACTTTCTGCTGATAGTTTCCTTGGCTTCTCAGTCAGATCCTCCCCTCGCTCCTCCACAGCTCCAGCCTGTCACCAAATATGGTTACTTCTGGCTCCAAAAAAACAAGATGGCGATGAACAAAATGCCAATCTCGAGGCTTCAAAACAACTCCACAAGCCAGTGGGTGACATCACTGTACTTAAGTCCAATATTTTATACAGTCAATGCTATCACAGAAAACACTTAGGCTCATGATACCTGGTGATTCAATCTAATTAGGTTTAGCGAATGTTCAGCCAGGAAGACTCTCTTTACGCTCTTGTATTATTCACAATTCTCACTGCTCCTCTCTAGCCTCTAACAAATCAACAGACTATGGGCGTCAACCTATGTTAATCCAACCAGATTTTGCCACAATTAGCCAAACATTTTGCTGCTATCACTGTTCTCCTCTCTGCTGCTGTCAGTTGTCTTTGTAGGACAAACAGATGCAATCATCCTCCACCCCTGAAGCAATATTCATCCACTGTGTTTGGTTATATATCTACTTTGATGGGGGAAGGCTGAAGGGGCACGACAGTGATCAACCTGAATTTATTAAGATACTGAGAAAGCTCAGGTTCAGGCTCGGTCACAAAACAATTATTAGATATGTCTACAAAACAAGCGTTTGTCTAACAAGAAATAAATGCATACAGGCGTGTCTGAATCATAATAAAACACACGTCAAACTGCTTTGACATCTACAGGATCTGCGGCTTTCTATCTCCCAAATAGGGAGCACAGCCTTGACATTTTGCTGTATTGCCGGTCTGATGTATATACACCAATTATTGAGCATCATAGACTCACACAGGAGCATCCACACTCTTGGTTAGAGCTCTGACCATGCTCCCTGTTGTTCAACACATTGTGTAACAGCACCACTGTGTTGGCTGGCCTCCGTGTGACAAGCCTGATCTCTCCATCCTCACCTGACATTTCAGACACTAGCAGCCTGCCACCAGGAGTCTGGTAGCTGACACACAAACACACACGCGCACACACTTGTACACAGGTACACTGAGGAAAACAGAGGAACAAAAAGAGGAGGATGAGAGCCCTACATCCATCCTCTGTGTCCTCCACCTCATCTCCAAACCCTGAAATCATAGAGCAGACGTCTCCTCTCCCCAGCTGCCGCTCACCCTCTCAGATACTCCTCCCTTAATTTTCACCGGTACTATAATCATCATCAAAACTGTCATCATCATTATTATTGTTATTACATTTTCAAAAAGTGCAGATAGAACTTCACTGAGCCCTCGTTCAGAAGGCAGGGCAGTAAAGGAGGACGGGGGAAACAATGGCAGTAAGAAGAGCAAGAAAAGCACAAGGTGAGAAAGAGAAAAGAGAAGAAGATTTCTGCCGAGTCTGAATTGTGTTGCTCCTGTGAACACACACACACACACACGCACACACACACACACGCTCACACACTCAGCGGCAGGCACACATTAACGCAGTACACCATACAGTCAAAACTGGAGGTTGACCCCCATCAGCAGAAGACAACAGCACAGGGCAGCAAAAAGAATTCATAGCATCAATAAACAGACAGAAGTGTGCACAAACAGCGCAACCTTTTTGCTTCTGTTTTCACCTTAAAATTGGAAGATTTGAAATTGTTTTCCTCAGTTGGTGATGCTGTGAAAAATGACATCATCATATCACGGGGGATTTGTTGTTGTTGTTTTTTTTCATCTTCTTTTTTCTCTCTCCACATCAGGGCTTTTTGTCTGGAAAAATCAGGAGCGATCCGTTTCGTAAGTTTATTGTGTTCCCGCTTTCCCAGTTTCCGGAAAGTTCAGTTTATTTTTTTCTTTTTTAATCTCTATTTTTGTTGGAGCTACAGCACAGCACCCACAGCACACAGACGACAAGAGGGTGGGGGTCCAGAGAGGGTTGGATTCACTAATATTGTGCCAGAGGATGAGAAAGAGGGAACAATAAGGAAAAAAGGAGATAAAGAGCATAGAGAGGAAAAAAAAGAGGAGGGAGAAAAGAGACAGCAGTATCAACAACTCCATCTTGAGTTCAGCTGGATTCATCAAACACCGAGTATTGATTGCTTTCCACAACTTGAGCTGAACATTAAACCACTTTTGAGTAAAAGGAGGGAGCACTGAAATGGGGAGAGGATATTGTACACTTGAGACAGATGACAAGGCGACAAATGAAGAGACAGGAGAGATGGGAAACAGCAGACAGGCTATGGATAACATACTGTATATTAGTCATGTGTATAGGGGGAGTTCTGCCAATCTATTCGCCTAATATATTAATATGTATATGTACATATTGTACATACTGTATAGTATTGTGTACCTGGAATAGTCATACAATAGGATTATATGAGATTAGATCGTTACTTAAGATTCTCTGTGATCCCATGGGACTGGCACCATTAATGGGTCAGGGGCTGCAGTGCAGTTCAGAACCAAGGGGTCGACAAAGAAACTGAACATCAGACCTCCACAGGCAAAGTGCATAAGGACAGACAGACATACAGACAGTCAGAAACAGGGGGACCATTGGCAAAGTAGGTGAGACACAGGAACTAAGACACGGCCGCATGAAGGAGAGGGAACAGAGGAGGTGAGAAGAGCCAGAGAGGAATAGAGATTTTGAAATAAAAGAGAAAAGAGTTTAAAGGTTTAAGAGAGCAGATGGCTAATTGTACCCGTGTTTCGCAGCCTGGCAGCAAGTCAGTCTTGTGCATAAGGACGGGAGTGGGAGGAGGGGAGGGAGGAGGGGGAGTAGGAGACGGGAAGGGGCCATGGAGGAAGCTGGGCAGTGCGATCAGGCCTTGAGAGCGTGCCACTGGGCGACGTTAGTACGCGGCCGAGCGAGCATGTCTTTCCAGTGCTTCACCTCCGCTGGTCCACTCTTCCACGATAGGTAGATCTGAGAGAGGGAGAAGAGAAGAGATGACGATGTAGACTTGTAAAATAATCTATATCCCTTTTCATGTTAAAGAAATGGCTTTTTTTCTGTCAGCCTTAGTTTTGTCTTTATTCAGACCCGGCAGCAGTTTTTTGGAAAAAGCCACGATGTTATTGTGCGATATTTTGCATCTGGAGCAGTGGCACTGCCGGAGAGCAGCGATGAGTTGAAAAGGTAATGAAATGAAGGAGAAAGAGTGGTCTCAGGTCTCTCACAGGCTGCATCACTTATGGATTTTGAAACCGATTTTGCCGTTGCAACCTTAATCAATGAAGCCTATTTCTTGGCTGTAACTCCCTGGAGTCTCTGCTGGTTGCCTAGCAACTGCTCCCAACCAAGAAATAGTCCGGCACATTACCTCCTGTAAAACAGAGTTTTCACACTTTGTTTTTTTTTTTTTTATGGTCCAGCAAACTACATATAAGGTGTAAATTAGTGAGCCGTTTTAAAGCAGTTTCACAGCAACCAAGGAAAAGATTTGGCGCACTCTTATGAATTCTTCCACGTCCGCGTAGAACAGTTCAATCTTCATCTAAATAAAGACTGAGAGAATACAAGTTATTCTTCATCAGTAAGACCTCGATTTCAGTGGATTTCAGCCTGTGGTAATATACTGTATGTATGATGAAATCCTTTGTTCTAGCTCATACCTCGAGGTCAACTTGCTGCCAAAATGAAGGAGCGTCATATCAATTTGGTTCCTCAACACCCAATATTGTACTACAAACACTGCAGTAACTACCCCAACAACCATATAAAGGACGACATATGGCATGAGATCGCCCAGCAGCTGGGAGACTATGAAGATGGTAGTCACTGATATGCCTGCAAACATTACATGTTGTTTACAGATAGGGGTTAGCCCCAACAGCTAGCATTAGTACCAACTTCAGGGGTAATGTAACCTAAGCCTCTTAGACACTGTCTGGATAGGATTTTTGTGTGTAGTGGACATGGGCACTATTTAGGAGGAAAATAAGCAATTTATTTATGTCTTTCGTTTGAGGAAAATAGAACATGGCAACACAGATAATTTGCACCTGAACCAGCATGTGTAGCTGTCGTGGAAAATTTGCATACAGACTTTCTGCATCTCCTTACCACATATTTTTGTACTGCACTGGTCAGAAACAGCTCTTAGAGGTGCTAGTCAGCGAATTTTGTTACCTTTGTACAGAGCCAGGTCAGCTGTTTCCCCTCTGCTTTCAGTCTCCATGCTAAGCTAAGCTAACCGTCTGCTGGTTGCAGCCTTATATTTAATTGCCAGACACGAGAGTGGTATGAATCTTCTCATCTATCTCTTTGCCAGAAAGTGAAAAAGTGTATTTCCTAAAATGTCAAACTACTGCTTTAAATTAGAAGACACAAAACAAGCATGAAAAGATTAATACAGAAACTTTTGCTAACTAATGACTGTTGTTTATTGGCCCCTGACCAGATAATCACACTTTGAAGCTAATGTTGCTCCTGGACTGTTTCTCTTCACTGATTTCTTTGTTCACTGCTGGAGAATAATGTATGTGTATAATTCAGTAATTAATTACTTTAAAGTTTTCCTCACTGTGGTTGCCATGGTCACAGGGTGAGCTGCCCCCACAAGTTGTCTGACCTTAGTGGCGGCTGCTTGCTGACTAAAAGTCCCTTTATTTAGTCGCATTTTCAGACAAGAGTCCGACATTTGCCATCACATTTATGTAACAAGGAGCTGAAGGGACTTCTGTGTTGTAACCAAAGGCAACAACACAAAGAGCACTGTGGAGCGTTACCTTGCCGATAACGTCGTTGCGGCTGAGCCTGTCCTTGTCCATGACGGTGATGATGATGGTGGTCTCCCTCAGCACATGGGCGGGCACGTCGAAGGGGAAGGACTCGTTGAAGACAGGGTTCAGACAGCGCTTCATCGTCACCGTCTTCTTCTTCTCTACTCGCTTGTCCTTGTGCATCAGCCACACCTTCACATATGGATCTGCAACATGGACGCAGAGAACAGCAGTTTACATGAGAGGGAACATGAAGATGCCCACTGAGGGTGAGTTTTAGTGTCAGGTTTGCAATTACCCTCTTAATTGTTAAAGTCAGGGAAGGCAGCAGGGAAGCAGATACCTAGTTTGAGCTCAAGGTCAACTTATCCCCTGAGCCGGGAAACATACAAATGAGGAAGTATTTATGGAAATAGGGCCTGGGATTTGTACAACCAGTTCTGGAGCATTATCATAATCTGTAATACTAACAGACAACTACTCCTACTACTGCAAGAGGAAGTAATTCTACAAAAATAATCAATCCACAGAGAGACCTGATACTTAAAAAACCAGCACCAGACTGAGCTGACACAGATTTGGCTGGGAGGCTGAAGATCCTCATAGATATACAGGAAGAGAGAGAGCAGGAAAGATAGAGGGCACGGGAGAGATGCTTGATGTAATGTCACCTTGCTGCCGCAGCTATCTACGGCGCAACTCGTCTGAGGAGCCAGACGGCAACCGTCTTCTGCACGGACGGGTCAGCAAATGTTTGAACACGTAGACGGAGCTTCCAATGTCATGAGAAGGGCTTCAGATGGGTGAACTAGGGTTAGAAAGAGGAAAAGACTCAGCAAACATACCTGAGGTGCCCCCGATATCCATGGCTTTGAGATTACGCGCTTTGATGATGTTCACAGTGATGGTGTTGGCAGTGGGATTATAGCAGAGAGACACCAGCAGGTCTCCTCGTCTCCCCTGAGGAACACAAACACACACACAAAAACAAACACAAACACACACACACACAGGAACACAATGGCGTGTGAATCACCCAGTCTAATATCAGATTTCATCAGGGAATATCAAACTCCAGATTACTCACTAGCTCGTTGTGAAATCTTACATCACTGCCCTTTCTGCTCTAACCCCTTCTGCCAAACACAGATGGTCCAGTGACCAGGCTGGCTTAGCTGAGCCCGTTGCTCACCCTGAAATTACGTCAATCAAGCTTCACATGCTGAGAGCAGTTAACAAATTGCATCACACTGTTAATAAAACTGTAATTACAACATATGAATGACAACATGGGACTCGTCATCATTCGGCCTGATGGCCAGCCCTCCTTCTCTTACACTGCCATCACTGCAGGGTTTGAGCTCCTTCCAGAAGGTCTTTATCTGGCCCAGTTCCACCTTGTTAAGGGGGATTGACACCTCTCCAATGGGGTCATTCCTGCTGAAGCGGTCGTAGTCCAACACCTGAAGGTAGAGAGTGCGCTCCCTCACCTTCTCGTAAGGGAAGCCTAAAACAGACACAGACACAGATAACATTGAGGGGAGAGCTTAGTTACAGAAAGTGAAAAACATATTCTTGACAGTACAGAGAGGCCAGTGTAATCTGCACCGTGCTAACAAGGAGGAACTTGGCAAAGGCCAAAGTGCATTTCGAAAACGGCAGGACCAGCCGGCGCTCTCTCAAATGACTGAGAGGGATCATTATACTCTAGTCACAAAGAACTATCTCGTTCATTTTTCAAGAGCGCTGGCTATTGTTCTAATTTTGGAACCTTTTGAACATTATTTTGGCTTTTTTACCATTGTGCTGTCACTCAAGCACAATGGTCATAATGAAGCAACTTCAGTTCATACAGAGGTGAGACACTTCACTGCTCTCTGCAGGGCTGCGGCTGAACACCTGCAGTTTGCAGTGCTCAAGAATATTACTTTATTTAACAAAACCTGTCTGTAGATTTTTTGAGCTGAAGGTTTAATATATGCAAAAAAATGTTATAATTTCACACCTTGTTTGCGAATTTTCACACAACTCCCACAATGCTCTTTGTCACTGCCATGAACACTTAATGGAACAATGGTACAAACTTAGATCTCTGATAAGTGTTTAGAATGCACTTAAGCAACACTTGACTGTAACAGAGAGAATTATGATACATTTTATTTATGTGAGTCTATTGTTAAAGGAAAAGATAAATGGCACTGTCATATTTGTTTGTTAAATGTAATGCGACAGTATAATCAGAGGTTGGTTTAGCTTTGTAACACAAGTAAAGCATATGAGAAAAAGTGCTTTTCATGGTTCTTTCTTCAGACTGTAATTCTACTTTTTACTCAAGTATATTTGAGCCAGTAATCTACCTTTTACTTCGCTACATTTGCCATTTACACCTTCGAATTGACAAAGGTGGGGAGAGGGCACAAGCACCTCTACTGCAGATACCAAGTTACCAGCCAAAAAGAAGCACCACCTGTCTTTTGACCACGTTTTAATGATGACAGAGCAAAACCCAAGACAAGAGCTTCCAGCGACAATCCCTGACCACATCTGGCCACACATTTTCTATACCAAAATCTAATAAAGACAACAGTTACATGATGAGGTGCCTGCTGTGCCTCCCGAAAAACATCAAGATCTCCGCTTTTAAAAACTCCTCTTCTAAAATCCATAAGCAATTTCAAGTAAGTTGAACATACTGAAGGTGAAAATTTAGTTAGCTAGCTAATGTTGGCTATGTTAATTTTTTTATGTGTAATGTCAATCTTTGACGTTATCATAATAAAGAAAAGGAGAGAGAGTGGGAGATTGTTCATATCTCAGTTGTATAGGCTTTGTTTGATCAGCCTACCTGCTCTACTTCATTATAAAAGCTTTATCAACGAGTGCTGCCGCACACCCTAATAAAAGAAAAAGTAACTTGTGCTTTAAATAATTTATCAACTAGGTACTTTTTTTACTTTTTCTTGAGTAGCTTTTGAAGATGGTATTTTTCACTTTTACTTTCATTAATTTTTTATGTGAGTAATCATACTTTTTCTTTACTATAGATTTTTAGTACTCTACCCACCAATGAACAGCTAGCCTGGTGCTACACTTTAATACTTCATTTTTTGTATTGATGCAAATAAAAAGATACAATATGTTAATTAGTGCGCTTTAGCTGTTGCTAAGTGAAGCAGCTTCAGGCTATAGCTTTATATTTAGTCTACAGATGATGGTATCAATCATCTTATCTAACTCTCAGCAAGAAAGATACTGTAATAAGTGTATTTCTCAAACTGTCAAACTATTTATTAAAGCTCTAGTTGGAAACTTTTGTCTGTCACTAAACTGTCACTAAATCCACACAGCACCAAATGAGACAGATAATCTGAGAAAAAAATCATACTCCTTTGCCGACTCTATTGCCTTGTAGCACTTCTAGCAGCCTTATCACACTCAAATGAGAACAGCCAGTCAGAGCTGAGGAGTATCTAACGCAGCTGTCAATCGTGTCAATCACTGCTTGTGAATTGCGGTCAAACTGTCAAACTAGGCAGCGCTGATCAAGACTGAATCATAATTTTGTTCCTGTATTGCCTATCTCTCACCTTAAATGTTTTCAACATGTGACCCAGCCAGTTGGTGGTGCTTGGTTTGACTTTGACTGTATCCAACATGGTGGCCGGGTCACAAACCTTCTCATTTTACAGCTAAACAGTACACTAAAATGTGTTTCTAACAACATTTGAGGCAAGACATAGGCAATGCAGTAACTAAATCTTGACTCATATATGACCAGATGCCTAATTTGACAGTTTGACCACACACACGCACAACTGACATGACTGACTGCTGCTTAAGATACTCTTCAGCTCTGATTGGTTGTTTATGGTGTACCATGATAGATTCTGGAAAACACCATTAGAAGCAGCAGCAAGAGAAGGAGGGACATTATGTTTCCACAGATTATCTGTCTCTTGTTCTTCTTTCAGAATATAGTGACAGTTTCAGCAAATATCACTCAAACTTATTTTCATAAAAGTTACCAACTGTAGCTTTGAACAGGATTTAAAGCTTTGCCAGCACTAATATTGGCAGCCAGTCCCCTCAAGCTGGCAAAAGCTGATTGAGAAAACAGGCCCTGAAAACCAATTTTATCAATCAGCCTCTTGTATTGAGAAAAGTGGCCTTATCTGCCAGAGTCTGAACAGTTTGGTTATTTCACAGAGTTTTCAGTGTTCAACTGTTCATAAAAAAAATACTAAATATATTTGTTTTACTTTAATTTGAACTTATAATTTGAAGTGCTGCTTATTTAGTCATGAATATTTATTGTTACAGGGATATGCATAGGATTTATGAAGCTTTGATGAAAACGCTTTTTTGGCAGCATAACAAAATGTGAAGGAAAATATGTAATAACAATAGTAACAATTGCAATAGTTCTTTGAAAAGAAGCTGAAAACAGCACAGACCCTCAAACAGGAAGGTTTCGTTCCAGTGGGGGTTGAGGTTCTTCCTCTTGACCTTGGTCTCCAGCTTGTGCTTTTTGTCAGGCAGCAGGTAGATTTTGACGAAGGGATCGGAAGTGCCGGAGAAGTCCTTGGCCGGGAGCTCCTGGCCCCTGAGAACTTTGACGGTGAGGGTCGTGTTCTGGAAGCTGTAACCTATGCTGAACTGGATCCGGCCCAGCTTCTCACTGATTGGCCCTTCACCGTCATCATCCTCCGAACCTGGAGACAGCTGTGAGGGACCACAAATGCACTCAAATAAATATAAATACATGCAGCAGCAGCCACTTTCATGAAAAGTTCAGTCCAAGGGCACACACTTCCTCTGACACAAGCACGTGCACACAGACCGTGACAGAGTGAAGCTGCGAGGGGAGGAGATTTTAGAGCTGCGTTTCTATCACGGCGCGCTCAAGCAGCCGCTCAAAGGCAGAGATTGGTCTGACATTAAGAAGACTGAGAGAGTTTAATTTCCTTTCTAATGTTCTTAAGAGGCAGGAGGTGCTCAGATTGAAGATAGGCAAGCTTTAGACCACCCATTCTCTCTCACAGCCACTCCGACTGCTTTATCACTGCTGTGCACTAAAAGGCCACTATCTGATAGAAAGCAGCGGACAGAGAGGGGCAAAGAGAAAGCGAGAGACAAACAGCAAGAGCAGGAGAGAGAGAGAGAGCACTGCATGAGGGGCATGGAGAGAACACAAGCATAGCTCAAGGTTGGCATTTCGCACTTGCAGCCGTTTGTGTGGTCACTTCTTTTCTCCCCGCAGCTCCACCTTCTGTCTCTGTCCTTTATTTTTTTCCTCTCACTGCAACAATGGCACTGATTGGAAATGAGGACTTTGAGGGAGATAAGACAACCAGCAGATCATAAGACCACTTTGTGCAAGTGCTTCCACTGACGCTTTGAAAAAGGCCAGCCTGGGTGTCTGGTTTGCATGCAAACTCTCTCCCTCGAAGCATCACCTGAAATTGTTGATTTCAGTGCTTTAGGTCAGAACTTCTATTTCAAAGCTGAAAAGACTCACTCACTCAGCTTTTGTCAATATGGGTTTTAGAACTGACAGGCAGAGCAAGTGTGAAATATTCCAAGTCTAATTTATCAAACAGTGTGAGTCACCTTGGATGGGCTGTCTCGCTTGATTGCCACTGTAGGAACTGCCTGTGTGTTTTTTTCCTATTATGGCTCTCTTATTACCACGTGCAGCTTTAAATCAACCCGGAGGATGACTCGGCAACACTTATCCTACCTGCTGACTAAGAGTGACGCGGCCAAAAGTATATGGATGGCAGCATATTGCAGACATAAATGATGACTGCACATTTCATTCCAAAACCACGGGCATCAATATGATTCTGACGCTCTTCTGGTTTCAGCCTTTCCAAATGATTTTTGGAACTTGGTTAGAGGGAGTTTTCTTCCATTCAGCCATGAGAGCATTAATGATGTCGGGCACTGATTTTGGCTGATTAGGCCTGGCTCACAGTTGGCGTCCTGATTCATCACCAAAGATGTTGGATGGGGTGGGCAGGCTAGTCGAGCTCTTCCACACCTAACTGGAACTGTCATGTCAAGGTCAGTTTACTCATCATGAGGACTGGAGTACTACTCAGCCAGTGAAAACAGCTGCATAATGACGTCTGTGGCTCTGGACAGCGCTCTCTAAAATCTGAGACAATGATTTCATCAGGGTTGCCCAGACTTGGAGACTGAAACTTTAAAGCAGGCAGAGAATTTAAAATACACAAGCATGTAGGATGTAGGATGCAGTGTTTTGGGGGATTTGAAACACACTTGAGACAAAAAAAATCTGAACCTGCCGGCCTGTTCTTCATTTTTTTAACTATGTCTTGTGAGTCTCTGATTTTTTGGAAGTGCTATGTTAAATTCGTTTCTCCAGCCCTGATGAAGACCAACAGTGGTCGAAACATGTTGGCTTTTTAATGAGTTGGCCATTATATTAAAGGCTTTTTAATCTTATCTTTCCTTCCTCATTCTCATTTTTGTTTGGCGTGCCTGGATTCTTTTCCTGTTTGCAGTATTTTGGAGTTCCCTCCTTTTTTCCAAGAGCACCCGATACATTTTTGGATCTACACTCTACAACACAGAGCAACTAGTTATCTGTTTTTCTATGCTATGTTAAATTGCTGGTGTGGCTTTATTAGATTTCACTTAATGCCCTTCATTTCTTTAATTTTTCATGCTGTCAACAAATCCCATGAAAAGCCAAATAATGACAATGAATTGATCCTACTAAAGGTTGTCTCCGTCGCTAAAGCTTCATATAGCTTAAACCTCTATGCCATAGAGCTCAATTGTTATCTGAAATCTATTAAATACACAATTAATAGACCACACTGTTGTACTGGGTCACATATTCCTTCCCAATCCCACGCACATCATACTGCCATAATACCAACTAGCGCATATTTATTTGCAGCCAAAAAACGTCCCAAACAAAGTCACTGTTTTGTCTATTTGACTCACACTTAATAAGATCTACAGCACCCAGCTGAGTTGGGAAATAACTCTTTTAAGGTTCACATGTTCAACAGGGCTGAAAAATTAATCCAACGCTGAAGTGCCAAAAACCGCAGTTCCTCTAATGACCACCCACTTGAGGCTGGCTACAAGAGCGAGTCAATCCTCATAGACACCCATGATAAAATGCCTAAATTTAAAGCAGAATTTAACATGTTTACAGCCTGGTACAAGAAAAGGTTTTCATCTCTGTAGCTAATTCCCCCCTTCATGACAACTGTAGGGGGGTTGAATTTAAATATAGCTTACCGTTTAAATGTTATTAAGGCTTAAAGTTATGCAAAATTAAGACCGTGGCCGCCTTGAGTGATAGGTGGCTGCTGTCAGTTGACAAGCCGCTACCACAGCGACGACTTGGTAACGTAACCCTGAGGAGTGGGAATCACCAGAGGCTACACAATACCATATTATCACGATACTTAAGTCACAATACAATATAACTGTGATTTTAAACATGTTGCGATATGCTGAGTATTGTGATATAATATATAGCAATATATTGCAATTTACTACCTTTTTTTAACTGTAAATTATATCCCTGAAGGAAAACTTTGTCTGTATCTGTATTATCTTATAAGATAAGTTTTCAGTTTTCAGACTATCTAAAGTTTAATTTGTATTTGAAATATTAATGATATATATAATAAGAAAATTGATACTTTGCAGTGTGCGATGATACTGCCACGCAAAAATACCGTGTATAAAATATGCTGTGTCGATTTTTTCCCCCACCCCAGTAACCATGGTGTAACCCCAGATTCACAGAGTATGGGCTAAGTCAAAGCTGTTGCTATTTCAGTGTTCTTTCAGTGGTCGACTAAAAAAAAATCTTGTTCAGTGTTTGGTTGTACTTAAAAGACCCTCTCAGGAGACAGACGTTCAGTTCTTTCAGTAAGTACATTTGATTTAATGGTTGTAAGCCTGTTTTTCTCGAGCAAAAATTAGCATTATCGCAGTTAACCATAGATTGTAAATGCACAGTGCTAACCAAGCTAGCAGCTGGTGTTAGGGTTTGCTCCACTCTTTCGTCCAATTCTGGCTCCAAAAATACCAGATGGCAATGGCCAAAGTGCCAAACTCAAGGCCTCAATACAGAAGTCCAAAAAGCAATGGCTGATGTTACAGTGGCTACATCTATTATTTATATACAGTCTATGGTAAGAATCAGTGTACTCGGCTTGGTGTCACAGATAGGGTAAGGGAGCCTGAAAGTACTGAGAGAGAGAATATCACAAAGTTCAGTTTTGGGCTTTCAATGGGATATATTGATGATAAAATAATATAGAATATCACCCACTTTATCCTCAGTATAGCAGGGGTGGATGTGTGTTGGGATAGAGGCTCTTACCATCACCATGTCTCCAGTGAGAGAGTTGGCCAGGTCCGTTACGGAGGAGTGGCCATCAGCATCAGGGGGTTGGCCCTTGGGGCTGTTAGCTGGCTTGTTGCCCCTGTAAGCAGAAACACAGGTTGACCCGGAGGGAAAATGGCAAGGACGTGCTGAGAAGCTAACTCGTCTCCAGAAAGAGAGAATGTCTGAGCACACAGGGAGTCCAACCTCCACCTGTTTGGTGCTTGAAAACCACCTATCTGAAACGACCAATTGAGTCCAAGTTTGCTTTGGATAGATGTCACTTCAAAGTAGATTGTGCTTTCTCTAGCTATCATCAGCCGAGCCAAATAAAAATCTGCCAAAGATTTGACAGATTAACAGCGGGCGCTAGAACTGAGGACATTTGATGCTGTGAGTTGTGTTTGATGAAACTTGGAATCTGAGATGACTATGCATATGTCCAGTGTGGCAAACATCCATATCTCTAACAAGAAAGTTACCTCCGACAAGTAAACAAAGACATTTTCAGACACAGCACAAACCCACTAAATTTAAAATTGATAGAACCCAATTCATTATCTCCAATCCCCACAGAGTTCATGATCAACCCGTGTTCCCTCTACAGACATTAACGAGACACACATGTATACTGACATGTATAGCAACATGACGTCACTATATATATATATACATATATACATATATACAATAGACAGACATGTATAGCAACATGTAGAGGACCAGACATTTAACGGGACAGATGTACAACAGTTTTGGAAAGTGTTTGCGTGTTTAAATCTCTCAGTTATTAAGAATCTGCATCAACAACACAAAATATTAATAAAAAAAAACATGAAAGAGAGAACAGAGATCTCCCATGGCACAGCTGGTACTTAGGTACAATTGTTAATAGATGTTAAGTTTAGTTCCTTCACATGAGGATTGTTGGAAACATAACGTTAAAGTGGGACAAACATTCTGGGAGAAAAACCTCTATGTTCATACATCATGAAAACAACAAGAATCACAAAGTGTAAAGAAAAAAAATCAGCAAAAGAAGAAGAAAAAAATCAAAAGAAGAATAAATATTATGAGATTAAAGAAATAATGAGGATAGATAGAAGAAGAAAGAGCCAAATGTGAAAGTCCTGGCCAATGTAATGTGACACATTGGACACACAGCACTCCATAGATGACTGGTCAAGGCACATGGAGAGGCTGAACATTGAAACACTGTTAGGCAATAAACAAACAGTAAGTACAGAAGAAAAACAACAACGGACACACAGAGAAAGAGAAAAGAAATGAGCAGAGAGAGGATGCTGAAGTTGCAGACACACACACACAGAGACACCGGACAGAAATCATAAAGACTGTAGATAAGATAGAAAGGTTCAACAAGGAATGTAAGAAATAGAAAAACAAAGCTGAAAATTATTTATCTGTATTAGAAGAGATAGAAAGTATTAATAGCATGAACAGTGAGGTTACGAAAACCAAAACCAAACAGAGAGTGAGATTGTTACAAACACCAGCACATTAGAGAGAAAAACAGAGCTGCAAGAAAAGATAGGGAATGAAGGAGGGAAAGCCTGGAAACACAAGAGAGGCTTAGTTTGGTCAGTCTGATAAGTATCAAAGAATAAGAGACAAAAATAAAGAGCTATGCAGACACAATATCTCTAACAGAAGACAAAGGGGCAAACATGCTAAAGGGAGAGAAAGAGCACAGAGAGGAAAAGAAAAAGACAATAAATACAATTGATCACCAGGAAAAGGAGGGCTAGAACCATTGTTCTTTACGCGAAGAGCTCAAAATAAACGATAAATGAGGTATAGTATGAGAGAGAAATAAGGCGTAGATAATACCATACAAAAATATATCATCGAAAACACGAAAAGGGACATAAGAACATAGGAAATGCACATTTAGAGTGTCACAAAAGAGGATGTTGGTAGAAATGGAGTATAAATTATAGAAGTTGACTTTAAATCTAACCTGATTTTCCAACCTTTAAGCAACACTCTAAAAGTGTGGAGTGGGGACACAGGGGCCAAAGCACAAACTGGCATTGGCTACATGTGCATATATAATATATGCAAGTAGTTGTCACTCAGAGAGTGAAGGCAATGCCCTGGACAGGCAGAAAACAAGGAGCCCATAGAAAAGTCTGTCTGTCTGGCCAGCAATCTCTGTCGAGCTTTTCACTGAGAGAATGTCTTTTTTTTTTGTCGTCGTCGTCGTTGGGCGCTCTGGAGTGCAAATTTGGATGAGAATAGATGTTGAATGCAATAATGTGTACATTTTTGCTGAAGACAAGGACAGAACCGGGGGAAAATATACTGACAAATAGACAGACAGAAAAAGCAAGCAAACAAGACAAGCAAACAGACAATCACTTGAACCAGCAAAGGAACCAGAGCGAGACGGGGGGAAGGAGGGATGTTAACCATTTCGAGAGGGGAAGGGAATATTCATCAATTGGTGTTAGTCGTATTAGTCGCCAAGGGAGGTAATTGCATTTGCAGGGGCCTGTTTATCTTTTGCACAGACTCTAAACTGCAGGCAATGAGTTTGAGAGGCGAGGAAAAGGCTGGGGTAAAACACTAAACCAAGATCTGAGGATCAGCTCAAAAGAGCTCTAAAGCACGAAGAGAGACTTCGGGTTTGAAGTACAGCAAGGCACCTCCCTCCTCCTCCACCTCCCAACTATCGATGGGGGAGTGAACGTCTTAAATTATTCATTCTCCTTCATGCTTCATTCAGGGGTTCAGTGCATTCTCAGGTAAGAGCTAGTGCAGCCAGGGGAATGGCCTTTCTACCAGCCCTGCTCTACAGCACCTGAGGAGGTCCTCTGCTCCAGCGCTGCCTCCAGGCTGTTTAAACAAAGCGGCTGGAGCTGCGGATTTATTGCAGAAAATATAAAGATACTTCCTCCAGATCATACAGTACATCATGAATTGAAAATGACTATTGGTTTCAATTTATTTAATTTCCAAAAAAGCAATATTAATTGTGGCAGATGGTAATACTACAACTGCTACATTTTGGTGCCAATGCTTTTTCTGTCCGACCCCATGGGGGTTTGATATGGAAATTGACGCTTTAAAGCCTGCAATTGTCTACAGTATCCAGTGGGAGGCAGAATGGACTCGAGTTCAGATCAGATTCTCCAACAGCTAAGGAACAGAAAGTGGGCTGTTGGCATAGCAACGGCTCTAGAAACACAGACCATACATTTGGGGGTTTGGGGTGTGTGTGACAAGAGGTTGTGGGGAATGGGCGCAGGGGAAGGGTGTGTTTAGAGGGGTGCAGCAAACAGGCAAACACACTGAGAACAAAGAAGATAAGGTATAGGATATATGACAGGTACGGGTGAGAACCTCGCAGACACACACATGAACAGACATATGGAGGCAGGCGGGGCCACTTTGGGTTTCACCGTCCTGTGATACTATCCTGTTTTGTTACCTGACCGAGGGCCAGCAGCTCGAAGAGAGGGGGAGGGGGGAAAGACACTCCACTTCTAGGCTGGAGAGAGACGCGAGAAAGAAAGCCCAACCCAGCCCCTCTTTTTTTTTCTCCCACCCCTCTGCAAACATGTCACACTCAAACAAACACGCTCGCCTGAGACCATGAAGTGATGTATTTTCAATGTCTATGCTCAATTTCATAGCCGCCCACTAGATCTATCATTCTTCAGGGGCCACAGCACACTTCCCAGGATCATACACAGTCAAAACCACAGCAGTGAAGCATGGCGCTGCTTACATAACTCGTCATCCACATGAAACACATGTACATTCACACTGGAGTCAGCCAGTCATTCCTGCTGCTTCACTTCTCAGGCTACGACCAAAAATTCTGCTGCGGCGTATAAATATGGATGCTTTCACTGTTAACTAATTGCTTCCTGCATGTTGGAACTGGAAATGAGTCTAAAATAGCATCGTTTACTGAAATCCCATTTCAGGAAGAAGCAACAAGGGAGGTGCTAAATGCTGCCTTCTGTGTCTCTGCTTCTTCAAATGGAAATAGAAAATCACAAGACAATTCAGCGGATGCCAAACGTTGATCTTTGTAAGCACTGTTTTATGTCTATTTTCATTTTATTAGAAGCCATATTTCAAATGCACTACTTTTAACTTTGGTGGCTGGCGATTGCCCTGTTGGTACGATACAGTTAAGCATTGCAAACATGATTACTTCTGAATCCGAAGATGAGCTTAGAGTCTACCCTATCTATAACAGTTGAGCTCCACCTCCCTTTATGGCCTCCCAATACTCTCTGCAATTTAGCATTCATGATGTCTACGAGCTCAATTAAAACAACTACAGCGTCGTTCCAGGGAGTTTGAGCAACATGAAATCTTCAAAACATTCTTAAAGTCCATTAAAACTCTGTACACGAGTGTACCAAATGTTTTGAATCCCGATTAGATTCAAAAGATTGCCTCTGGGGCAGAGGCTGCTGCAGATGTGCCACCTGTTCTAAGGCAGGACACAAGGGTACTAGGTTAATGCTCTAAATAGCTCATCTCCCCATCCATCCATCTATCTGTATGTATGAGATGAGCATGTATACCAGCGTGTACCTGCTGGCAAGAGTGCTGCCTTCAGCAGCACATAACGCATGGATGTGCAGAGTGCAATAAGTACTCCCTCCTACAACTCTCATAAAAGGAAGATGGATGTACACCCTGAATATTCCCTCATCCTCCCCTGACATATGGATGGATGTACGTACGAATGCACTAACCTCCGCCTCCTCTCTTTGTGACTCCTTTTTTCCGCCTTAGTGCTATCTGCTTCCCCCTCTCTTAGCACAAAGCTGAATGCATCTCAACATTCCCCCTGTGATGTCTGGATGAGCGTGGTGGCCACAGGGAGCCAAAGCCTCAGGGACAGTCTTAAGCAGAGCCCCTGAAGACTCTTCTGATTAGCCGAGCCCATAAAGCCCCTGTCACAGGAGGAGCAGAGTAGTAGAGCATAGCGAAATCAATTTACATGTTTATGTACAAACAGATTATATCATCTGGAAGCATTATAACAGCAGCTTTTTCTATTATCTAAGAATACAAGGCCTAAATTACCACCTTAAATGTTGCTCTGCACAT